ACGGCGCGGCCCTGTCCTAGAGGTTCCTTTAAGCAGGATGACGTAATAAAAATAAACACGGAGGGAGCTGGCCCGCAGGTACTAAGAGCAGTAACTGCAGCACAGCGTCGCTTGCAGTCAGTAACTCTATATAGTGCATGTCTGCCGCAAAGAGGATGCGAGTTCAGCATGGAAACCCCATTATAACAATTATATAATGCAAGGAGGACATGTTCCAAGTCTTATCTGTTTAAAGCAAGCTGAGGTCTCAACCGTTTTCAGAGCTGGTGAGTGAGGACATGCATAGAAGTTGGAAACGAGCCACTGGAGGTTTCAGTTTTCCACCCCTGCTTCACCCAGCACTGGGATCGGCAGGGAGGATATCTGCACAAAGCTGGAAAAACTGAGGAAAAGTTGTGTTCAATTCCAATGGTCAGCTTTTTTGTTAATTCTAAAAGCAAAGCACACTTTTGTTTGCTGGGAAGACTTCTTGCTCATCCAGCATGGCCTTTCTTAATGAAAGCTTCAGGTAAGTGGTTTTTCACCAGTCCAGTCCAAATATTGTTAACTTGCATCGTTGTGGTTTTTTTATCCGCAGGATGACTCAGTGGTACCAGCTGCAGCAGCTCGATTCCAAGTTTCTGGAACAAGTTCACCAGCTGTACGATGATAGCTTTCCCATGGAAATCCGGCAGTACCTGGCACAGTGGCTGGAGAACCAGGACTGGTGAGCGCCGGGGGCAGTGCCGATGCCCGTGCACGTGGGTTTCCAGGTTACTTGGCCCATCGGGCTCCCGTGAGGAGCCGTGGAGGGGCACGAGGCGCTAGGCAGACCCTGGTGGCTCGGGACGCTCGGTGGTTTCGTGGGCCCGTCCTCTTCGGGGCTTTGCAGAGGGCTGGATATCTGGACTGAGCTTGTTGCCTCGTTTCTGCAAACAGCTGTTTTAAGAGTCACCTTGGTGTCACCTTGCTGCCATTTGCTGGCTTTGGGCTTTAACCAAGGTGTCTATGGACCTTCTTGAAGGGCTGTGCAGACACACACATGCATCAGGGTGGCTTTGGGTTTCCCAGTGCTCATGGGACAGGGAAATCAAGCTGCACAGTGCATGGCAAGAACACATTAGAGGGAAACACAGCATTTCCGAGTGACAGAAAATACAGTCAGGAGGGAATAGAACTGGGTTACACTTACAAGTAATTCTCACTGCTCACAAACTACAACCAGAGCCAGGGACAAAAAAAAAAAAAAAAAGAAAAAAATCACACAATATGCTCTTTCTTTCCTGGATACCTGTTTAAAGTGCATTTAACACAAGCATGCCTTAAACTATTCTAGGGAACATGCAGCCAACAACGTATCTTTTGCTACGGTGCTATTCCATGACCTGCTGTCACAGCTTGATGATCAATTTAGTCGGTTTTTGATAGAAAACAACTTTTTGCTGCAACACAACATAAGGAAAAGCAAACGTAATCTTCAGGTATGCCTGGGGCATATGGTTGTACACTTGCTTAAGCTGCTTCTGCTGTACAATTAAATACCTTGAAGACTGTCTTGACGTGAGGCATGTTTGCAGAGTATTTTGAGAAGCTTAATTTGAGAAGCCAGATATTAAATGTTATTCTATTTTGTTTTTTATTTATCTGTGGTTAGAAACTGTTTATGAGAATGGGAGAAATGAAGAAAACACAGGGAAGCGGGGGAAGAAATCCTTGCTCTCTAGCTATAGATTCACAGCTGATAGCAAAGCCCATGTGACTAGTGGCAGAGGAAAGGACCAAAGCAGAGTATGGCTCTGCAGAATGTATCCAGAGCTGATTTTGTTGTTTTTTCCTTGTCTGGTCATTCCCTGTTCCCTAGATGTCTCCAGAAGCTCCTGCCTCAGAGCCCCTTCCCACACACCCAGCTCATGCTCAGCACAGGGCACTGCAGGGGCAGGGTAGCCTCAGACCAGAGCACATTTTAACCCTGTGGATGTAAAGCACAGCCTTGGCCCTGTTCTTAAGCCACTGCAAGCTTCTCTTCACCCTTGTGTTGGGCTGAGTCTCATCTTTCTGCATTAGGGAGGTAGAATGGCTGGCAAAGCCATGCTTTGCTCTAAACAGCTGTCACAGCTGCTGCAGGTCATAGGCAGCAAAGGCACCCTTGAGGCTTAAAGACATTAGCAAGTGGCTACTGCTTATAGTCACACTGCTCAAGGACAAGAGGTTCAGGACCGCACGTTTAACGGGTTGTTTCTAATGTCAGGATCACTTCCAAGAAGACCCAATACACATGGCAATGGTCATCTACAACTGCCTGAAAGAGGAGAGGAAAATACTGAGCAGCGCCCAGTTGTCAAATCAGGTAACCAGGGCTTGGAACAGCCACTGCAGCTCTATCTGCCCTTCCTCTTGAGGCAAAGTGAGTAGAAAGAGAGACCAAAAGCAGCAGCAAGTTGTCCTCCCTCTGCCCAACAGCCCACACTTCCTCCAGGAATGAATGTTATGCGTGAACAAATATTAATATGCACTGTTTTCACAATGTGACTTGAATCTTTTGAAGGAGAAAGAGTCAGGAAGTAAATCATACTCCTTTGAGCAATACAAAAGCTTTTTTCCCATGCTACTGTAATATTGCTTAATGTGCTCATCAGGTTTTATTACAGCTTAACAAGTAGGCCCTGCCTTCTCTCTAAGGAGATTTTAAACTTTCCTTTCCTCTACATTTTACTCTCAAATTTACTCTATACTGAACAGTTGAACCTTCGTGCTTCACTGGTCAGTCTCTGGAATAAGGATGCAGTTACCAAGTTACCTCTCAGTATTTCTTTTTATTTCTAAATAGTCACTTTCTTCCCTCTGCTCCATAGGCAAAGCCATATTATTCTCTACCCTCCTCCTGTTCTGAGGCTTCATCTTTGTTTTGTGAAGAAGAAGAAGAAAAAAAAAAAAGAAAAAAAAACTCTGCAGCTGCAAAAGTTGTGCAATCTGCATGGCTAGATGTAATGCAATTGCACAGGAATAAAAGATTGCCCAAGCCCACTGAGTTTTGATACCAAAATGCCTCCCTTTATGACAAATCCTCAGCACACACATAGGGAGTGAGTACTCGATAAGCCCAAGCAAGGAAGCTAATGCTACAGGTGCCTTGCAGCTGCAGGGCACCTTGTTCTGCTGCACAGCACATTGCTCACACAGCCACCGTCCTGCATGCCAGGTCTTCAGACCATCAAGAAGGAAGATAAATACTCCTATACAGTGCACTGATACTAGGTGGAACGTCACACTCTGCCTCTTAATACAGCACAGCTATAAGCATCATAAAAGGAGAATCCCAAGTGCTAGGCTGGGCTTCAGTTGCTTTGGTGGTCTGACTTAACCCTACAAAGAGGGACCTCTCCCCATTTATAGAAATAAATTCTGCAAATTACCTTAGCTTAAGTTAAAGAACAACCCTTAGAAAAACACAGACCAGATGGCCAGCCCTGTGCTGGGGGAATGATGAATTCCCAACATGCCCTAATTACCTTCATGTAGGCCTATCTTGAGTGCTGCTCTTAGCTTGTTTTCCTCCTTTTTCCACATACCCTGTATGCGCACATCCTGTTTCGTGGACACAATTCCACTTTCTCTAGCAAAGGTTCTTTCTCCTTGAAAATATATTCAGAAGTTACATAAAGAAATCAAATAAAAGTGAATTTGTGCAAACAGTAAACAAGTTTGTTTGTTTGTTTTGTTTTGTTTTTTTTTTTTTAAGTGTTACGGAAAAAAAGCATAACCACACAAAATGAATTTTTAATCCCCTATGTTCTTTGCAAACTTACTTGAGCTCAGTTATGTTAGAATACAAAACCTTGTTGTGAATTATCACAACAATCACAAAACACTGCTTTATTAGCTTATTTGTCAACAAAAGCTACTACTTATGTGAGGCAAACTAATACTTTTTGTCACTGTTCACCCTGCTGTGACTTTTGTTGATGTTCTGCTTCCTCCCCCAGATGGAAGTGGGGAGCGTACAGAATACAGTGGTTGGAATGCTGGACAAACAGAAGGAGCTGGATGCAAAAGTTAAGGCTATAAAGAACAGTGTTATTGTAAGTAAAGTCAAATCAGACCTGTATTTGAAGTACTGCATGTCACTTTGTAAGTGTGTAAAAGTTTTCAGTGTATGAAATTGACTTTTAATAGCAAATAAAATTAGATGCTGGTTTTCAGTTTTATCACCAATGAGCATATGAAAGTAGCAAGTAATTATTTGTCAGTAGCTCGGTGGTACGAGTGGGGCTTTTTGCATCTGTGTTCCCTAGAGTGGTCTAGGGTTAGCAAAGATGATTGCTTTTGATAAATGGTTTTGTGGGCTCAAGTTTTCAGAAATGAAAACATTTTTAGCAACCAAATAGCAGCATTTGAGGGAAAAGGCTAATTATCTACTGACTTTCTTGTTGTTAACCACAAGCTAGGTTTTCAGTTACCATGTAGACAGTAACTGTTCATAGAACAAGTAATGGCTCCAAGTATAGAAGGCAGATAAGTTTAGGGGCATGTCTCATAAGCAGGTCCAGAAAGAGCTGTTAATGGTAAAACTAGAATTAATCTGCATAAGTAACTGTTGCTAGCCAGTTCCTAACCATCAAGAAGGCTTGCATTATATGAATATATTAAATAATTATGGCTAATTTGCTCTGTGCTTTATAGGATGTGGAACAGGACATCAAGACATTAGAGGATGTGCAAGATGAATATGACTTCAAGTGTAAAACTTTGCAGAACAGAGGTGAGAATTTTATGCGGGACAAATCATATTGCATGCTCTTGGTAAGCGTGTGCTGCCTCGTGTCTGGAAACGTGTCTTTTGTGCTGAAGTTTAGTTCCTAAAAATGTGTTCTGTGCCTTTTCTTATGGGCAGAGAGCATGCTTGTTAACGCAGCGTTCCTTTGCTGCTAGAAATAGCAAAGCCCGTGGACTCTGACCATTCAACCCCACATCTAAGAAGTAAAGTCCAGGCTTCTCATTTCACACACCTTCCACTTCGAGTTTTGTGAGCCCTTATCTGCAGGGAGAAGCACCTGCAGCTGCACTTAGTACCAGTTTCATTAGAGATCTGTCTCTGAACACTTGCAAAGCCAAGACTGAAAATGCCTTTCCATGCAGAAACTTCACATTTCCTCTATGCCAAGAGAAGAAAAATAGTTGAAATAATTAAAGGGTCCTACATTTCTTTCCGCAAAGGAATCTAATCCTGTGCCCATGAGTTAGTGGGATTTCTGGCAATACAGCTGAGGTTCATTATTTTTGTTTGACTACTCTGTTCTAGAAAGGTTTCAGTTTCCAGCATGCTAGCAGTTGCCTACCCCTCAGCAGACATGCTTGGAAGATACTAGGGTAAGCCTTTGAACCTGGGGGGCAGGCAGCACTTCCAGGAGGCACTTAGAAGCCTCTACCATGAAGCCAGCAGTCAGCAGAAGCAGAACCTAGGGAAATGACATAGCAGCTCTCAGGCTGGGCCAGCCTCAGGAGGCTGTAACTGCTCATCCTTGAAAAAACACCTTCAGTTGCTAGGTGCCAGGTTAAGCAGCCTGAATGATTCATGTTTGAAGTCAGCATGAGAACAGGTCTGTATTGAAGAGACATACACGTACAATCACTATTTTGAACTGCACTGCTGGTGTCAGGAAGAAGCAAGCTCATGTCTGTTATTTCACCAAAAAAAGACAAAAGTCTTTGCTTCTCATTAGTGTTGAGGGTCTAGTCTCCAGCCTTTCAAAAAGGGGAAAAAAGAAGAATCAGAAACATTTGGAAGGCAGAATTTCCTCCCTTAGGCTTTAAGGATATATTTCAGTTGACATTAGCCAGCTGGATCCCTCCTTCTCTCAGCATTTCCCCCACCCCTGCTCCCACAAGGACACGTCTCATCACTCTTCTCACTGCAGTGCCAGGCACTCGGTCTCATCAGACATTCTCTGGATTTTCTGTGCAAACCTGCAGAGGTGCCTCAGCTGTACAGTATGGACTTATTTTACAGAGCATGAACCCAACGGTGTGTCACAGGAGGAGTATAAGAAGGAACAGATGAATCTTAAGAAGATGTTTCTACTGCTTGACATCAAGAGAAAGGTAGTGCTCTAGTTACTTCAGAAGGCAACAGCACTTCATTGCAAACATACTCATTTTCAGTGGGTTAACATGTCAAATTGCTTTAAGAGAAATAAGTTTGTTACTAAGAAATTTCACTCTTAGCATTATTACTGAAAATCTGCAATCACTTTAAACTGTTGTGGTTCTCTGATCCTTGCAACCTTCCTTTATCAGTGTCAGATAAAGTTGAGAAAAAAAACACACACAAGTGAAAAAACCATTAGTCACATTCTTGAGGGGAAAATGGCTGATGAAATACAGCCATGTTGAAGTTGAATGTGCTCACTAATGTTGTAGTACTCTAATCTAGCAAGAACTAGTTGATCCATTTATCTCCTTAGAGGTTTTGCGAGATGTTAGCTCTTCAGGGGAGAGTATCACAAAAAATGCATCATTTTTCCCTTCCATGTAGTAAATACTCCAGGTAAAAAGGACTTCAACATCTTTTGGACAGTAGCTGTTACTTCAAGATCCTTGCCAAGTTTTGCAAAACAATTGTCCTTTAAGAGACGCCTTTATAAGCCAGATAATCTCATTCTCCCTAGGAAGTGGTGAACAAGATCATACAGCTGTTGAACGCCACAGAGCACACTCAGAGCGCTCTTATTAACGAGGAGCTGGTGGAGTGGAAGCACAGGCAGCAGACTGCATGTATTGGTGGGCCACCCAATGCCTGCCTCGACCAGCTGCAGAACTGGTAAGCCCCCAGGCAGCAGCTGCAGTGCACAGAACGCTTTACATCCTGCTAAGAAGGAGCACCAGCTCTGCCAGGGACACTGATCATTTATTTGCAGCACACCAGCATTGTTACAAAAGGAAAACACGCTAAAAATACAACTGTAATCGTAGGTTCACCATCGTTGCTGAAAGTCTACAGCAAGTTCGTCAGCAGCTCAAAAAGCTGGAGGAATTGGAGCAGAAACTTACGTATGACCCTGATCCCATCACAAAAAACAAGCAAGTTCTGCAGGACCGAACATACAGTCTTTTCAAACAACTGATCCAGAGGTAAGAGGCAAGATATTTTGTCACTGGGCCAATAAATGCATGGAGGGCTCCTTCCCTTCCGTTTCCTCACTATTTCAGCATACCAACTTCACATTTTCTGAGCTTTCTTTGGTTTGTCACAAAAACTAAATGACCATTTTTTAAGATTTACTCTGTAGGCCTGTAGAAAGGGTTCATGATCCTCCATCACCTAAGTCAGCATGATACCTGCTACAGCAGCACTGATAAGAGGATCAGACTCCTGGGCTATGTTCACTTCTTGCTTTAAGCCCCACACCTGCAAGGAAGCTTAAGTAAAGAGACAGAAACCACATCTGTAACAAGAGGTGCCCAAGATAAACATGCTCTAGACTCATCCTCCTCGACTGCCCTGGAGGGAGTCCAGCTGTACCTCTGCACAGGCACTTTGGTGCTTGTAGATGCCCCACTCAGTAATCCCAGTCTGTAAATATTCACTTGTCAGTAATTTGTGCTGCAAGTAGGCTTGCAAACTAGCAGACAAGAACAGGGGTTTATCTACAGCAGGTGACCCCCTCTGTGGGGCATAAACAGTGAAAAAATAAGACTTAGGAAGCCAAAGTCCCTTTTGAATGCTTGGAGTATAGTTCTCAGTAGGAGAACACTGGGCAGTTCAAAGTGAGGAGGGAGGCTGGATGCATCAGAATAGGCCAAACTCAGGAGTTCACATCCCCCTGGGAAGAGCTGGCCCTCATGAAACCCCCTGCAGATCCCTCTGGATCTGTGCTGCTAAAAAACACTGTCACATACACTGCAAGAATTTAGAGCATGCCAAAAAATGGCAGATGAAGCAATACGCCTCACTTTGGGATTATGCTAGTTCCATCACAACATGGATGTACTCCCATTTGATTTCATGGGAGTTAAGTAGCCCTTTCCTCCCAGGCCTTGAATATCTTTAGAGAGGAAAAAAAGACAACCCTTACAAAATCATTTGTATTGTCAGTCCTCTTGAAATAAAAGCCAAAGAAATGGATGCACAGACACTAAACAGCTTGAAACAATGAGTTTATCAACTGTACAGTAATATCAGTAAGTCACCTTTAAAAAAAAAAAAGTTTTTTTTGAATGCAATTTCTGCCTTAAAGAAAACTTGGATTCTTTTCATCTGTTTGTTTCCCTAGCTCGTTTGTGGTGGAGAGGCAGCCTTGCATGCCAACACATCCTCAGAGGCCTTTAGTCCTAAAGACTGGAGTCCAGTTTACCGTGAAGTTGAGGTAGGTTTCCCCTTCCCCACTTGGCATGAGCCTTTCATTTTATTGACCTCCTGTACTTGAGAGTCCTGCACCTTCCATGGTGGGTTGGTTACCCAGGTCAGGGCAGAAGGAAGGAAAGACAGACAGAGGATGCCCCTTCTCTCAAAGCTCAATTTGCACTTAAGTTTTCACCCTTACTAGGTGTTAGGGGGAGTAAATACATGCAAACACACCCAGGTGGCCAAACACACATGCAGGCCACTGTCATGTGGAAAAACTGTTTTTCAGTCTGTTTTTATCTTCAGAGAAGGGAAGTAGCAGCAGTATGTATGAACCTTTTTCTGATTTATTCTGTCACTACATCCATACCATCTTGTATGGAGCAAGCTTGGGACCCACACACAGCCTTGAGCTGTGCATTTTAAATACAAACTCTGATAAGCAGTGCTGCAAAAGAGAGGTTGTGTTGTTGCAGTCTTTTTTAAAATTTTCTCTTTCCAGGTTGCTGGTGAAGCTGCAGGAGCTGAACTACAACTTGAAAGTCAAAGTTCTGTTTGATAAGTACGTTGCATTTTCTCCTCTCTGGGTATGCTAGTGGTGAGCAGGCCCTGTGCTGAGATCCACAAGGCAGTTGTGTTTTTGTGCTGGAGTCACCTGGCAGCTTCGCACCCTCCTAGGGGCCTCAGAGCAGGCAACACCTGAGAGATCTTAAATTAAGAATTAATTTTTTTTTTTTTTGACAGAGATGTAACTGAGAAGAACTCAGTCAAAGGGTAGGTGGCATCATGTTTTTATATATTGTTGTTGGGTAATTTCAGTGAATTTGAGACTCCTAATTCCTTTTCTTCTTTGTGAAGGTTCAGAAAATTTAACATTTTGGGCACAAACACAAAAGTAATGAACATGGAAGAATCTACTAATGGAAGCCTAGCAGCAGAATTCAGACACCTGGTAAGGGGACTTTCTTCTTTCCTTAATTGCCATATGTGATTATGCAGGCAGAGGCTGTGATAAGACAACAAGTTTTTAAATATTGAAGTCACTGTTTACTTTTGTATTAGAGGAAGTATGAAGTTCCCTCCTTCCTCCTCTCCCCCTGCTTTCCATTTTTCAGAAATCTGTGGCTTGTTCCAGTTGTAGTAGTATTTACTTTCGATCCTGAAACATGGCCTGAAAGGCAACCTGTGTTTGCTGTTGTAATGTGTACATTGTAGCAGATTCTCTAGAGAAAGAAAGGGGTAAAGAAGCCTAGAAATGCAGGTTTGGGCCCTTCAGAGGAGAGTTCAGAGGCAGCCTCTGAGGAGGGAAGAGGAAAGCTCAGAATATCTTGAAGTTCTTCAAGACTGGAAAAAAGAAATGTGTAAGGAGGGACTGCTACAAGTCTGTGCTTTCAGCAGGCTGTGCAACACAGTTGCTCTGCTGAGGCAAGGTAGCTGGATGGGCTGCATCATAACGACTGGAGGGGAACTTGCACGCGCTCCCAAAGCAGCTGGCATGGAGCTACCCCTTCCATTCCTTGTCCAGTTCAGTTCCTGACATCTGGAGCTTACAGTGACATCCAGAGAGCTGCTTTAATAAACATCCATTTTACCTGATCCTTCCAGTTTGTGTTCCTGCAAGGCCCCTCATAAAGGCACTGCATCATAAAGCTGCAACATCCATTTCCACAGCTGAACACCCAAAGGAGAGCGGTTACCCAGAGATTAATCCTTTGCCTTCCACTGCTTTGAGCCCAGCAGGTTCAGACTCTAGTGCAGCAAGTTACCACCCAGTTAAGCAACTAAGGCACACAAGCATTTACATCCCCTGGGCACTCTCCCCTGCAGCTGAAGTGGATGAGTGATTTATTTATTTTGCTTACAGCAATTGAAAGAACAGAAAAATGCAGGAAACAGAACAAATGAGGTAAGTGGCACTTTGTTGGTAGAGATTTCAATAAGCAAGAAGGGAATTGAATGCTTAAGACAGCTCTGCTCAGCACCATGAAGAAACACACAGGATGAGACAGAGGAGCTCAGTGTTTCTAGGAAACTATCTGCCTGCTTAGGAGCCCTCAGAAAAGGGAACTACTGCTAGAACACTATCCTGTGGACTTCCCCCTCATGGGCAGCCAGCTTGAATGGGGCTTTCTGCAAGTGAGACTTCTCTGGGAGTTCCAGAGAGCAGCTATAAAAGGGCTGCTTAGAGAGTTCCTCCTTCAAGCCAACTGCAGGGAGTTGCCAGCGACCTGCAAATTTTCTGAAGGCCAGAGCAAGGAGCCCCTAGAGAAGTGACCATTCCTTAGGCTTGGCAGAGAAGGTTTTGCCCTGGTGAATTCCTCCTCCTCCCCAGACAAGTGGGGTTTTTAACCAGGAAGTTTTAGGAGAACGTTGGGCTACTGATAACACATCTTGTTAAGAAGCCAGAAAGCAGTAGTGTTTTTTTTTTTTTTTTTAAAAAAAACTATACCAACTCTCCCCTGTGATACCATTTTAATTCCTTGAAACACTCATTTCAATGCCTCAGGAAGGAATGATTCAGAGGGGAGTTAATCCATATCAACCTGTATACCCATATCCAGATACCAGGAGGAACAGTTTTGCATTACTGATTCAGCTGAAGTAATCCAGTAGCACAATCATGTTTGCTTCTGAACATTATTTAACTTAGTATTAGGAGGAGATAGTAAGACTACTATCCTCAAATGTTTCAGATTTTTATTTAATTTTAGTGATTTTTTTCTTTCTCCAAAGGGCCCTCTCATTGTAACAGAAGAGCTTCACTCTTTGAGCTTTGAGACACAGCTGTGCCAACCTGGCTTGGTAATAGATCTAGAGGTATGTTAAAGGTTGCTGTAAGTTAATTCCAATATATCATTCACTCTGAAAATCTAAAACTTTTAAATTCATACATATATTAAACACTTTCAGTTATTTCCTAATACATGAGTCACATCCACAACAACTCTGTGTAGCAAGAATGCTCTCCAATCTCTGTGTAAGAACCAGGAAAGCATACTTGGTAAAATACCTGGCAACTGTGAGTTTTAATTCTCTAGATAATTAGCTTACATTTTGAAAATAGCATATGGACTGTGTTATTAATAAAAAATGAATATTAATGTTTGATAATGACTAAGAAGTCGCTTGAATCTCCCTTTCTAGTACTTCATATTCTCTCTTCCACATAGAAGCTTCAAGTGGAAAAGCTAAGTTATGATCACATGAGCAGGGAATTATAGTGGAAACTCATTTGTAGACAGTCTAGAGGAGAAGTGCAACAAGCACAGGACAGTGACATGTTTCCTCCTGTGTCTTTCAGACCACATCTCTTCCCATTATTGTGATCTCAAATGTGAGCCAGCTTCCAAGTGGATGGGCTTCCATCTTATGGTTCAACATGCTCTCTACTGATCCTAAGGTATTTGCAAAAATGCACCACACCACACACCAAACACCTATGCCCTTCTTGGTCCTTTTTGCATGGAAAAACTTGTACAGTCCTTAGCTTTATATCAGAAATACTATGTATGGTTTTCAAAGATGCACTTTATCCAACTGCTTACACAGTTTTCAATGTGGAGAACTTCCTTAATGACTTTCTGATTTAGGAGGGAAGACAGCAAATTATTTTCCCCCATCCCAGGGGAAACAGCATTTGGAACACATGTAGGGATGTTATGCATAGTATTCACTGTGCAGCAAGAAGCCAGATACACACCTGAGAATTCAAATCCACTGGAATTGATCAATCTAAGCCTTCTGCTACAGGGTAGGAATGAATGTCTAAGAGAAAGTGCTTTTTCTGCTAAAGAAAAAGCATCAGAATAGCAGCTTTCTTTCAGATCCATCTCAAAGAGACATCCATTCCTAAATCCACTTTTTTTTTTTTTTTTTGCTGAGCTGCCCTTATGTCAAGCCCCATTTCTCCCTTCCCCCATTCCAAAATTGACTGCTTTATTCTGCCCTTCTGTTCCAGAACTTGTCCTTCTTTCTGAATCCACCTTATGCAAAGTGGTCCAAACTTTCTGAAGTTTTAAGCTGGCAGTTTTCTTCTGTGACAAAGAGAGGACTTAATGCAGATCAGTTGAGCATGCTGGGAGAGAAGCTACTCGGTAAGGTCTTATCTTAGCACTCTGTACCTTTTGGCTCTACTAAATAAGGAATGGCCAGTTTCTATTGATGCTAATTCCTCATGTTTTCTGCACTTAATATTTTTGCTTCTTCCCAGTCCTTTCCCCTAAACATGGGTGAAGTTTTTCTATCTTTGGTAGGGTGGTGCTCAGAAGCAAGCAGAATTCCACAGGGAACCAGGGTGCAATTCACATACTTCTTTTGCAGTGTGAAATTTGACAGAATCTTAGTTTCATACTAGCATTAGGAGAAAAGCTTCCTAATTATTTGTTTGTAGAGATAAGGAAAAAAAAATCCTATTTTTGCCATAAGTTATATACATAGTATAGTCAGTACTAGGAAGAATTTGGCCCTAAATAAGAATTTGCAGCAAAGGCTGCAAAGCTCTAGTTACTCTAATCACAACATGAAACTTCTCTGGTGTTGTGATTAGAGTATGATTGACATGATTGAACAGGAGGTAAAACACAAGTGTGACAGGAATGAAGAAGCCTCCCTGCTCCTGGCAGGTCTAAGTCAGAGGTTCTGGGGCCTAAGTCACCAGAACTGACCCAGCAAGAGTGCTTGATCAGGCAATGCTATGTGGCCTACTAAGCTCCTGCAATAGGACAGTATGCCTTGCCTCTTGTTCTGCTCAGGGAGAGGGGTGAATAATTGGGATCTCTTCTGGAAGTGTTTTAAACCAAGGAGTTAGAATGGATTAGATCCTATAATGGAAGGTCCCCCTTGCTCTGTTAAAACGCTGTTAAAACAGATTTTTGTCATGCCTATGCAGTGGATGTTTCCAGAGGGAAGCCTTGCACACCGTTGTGCTGTCCCTGCTCTAGCCACAGACATACAGGAGCTGTTCCCTTCTGTCTTAGTCCAAGAGCTAAGAGTTACACATAAACACTCAGATCTTGGTGCTGTGGGTAACTTTCCGTAAGTGACTTGATGTGACTGAGTCTGTTTATTCTGTTCAGGGCCAACAAGTGGAGGAGCTCATGATGGCCTTATTCCTTGGACAAGATTCTGCAAGGTAGGGAGACTTTTAAAAATTGAGACAGTACAGAGCTTTGTTCTGTTTTTCAGAATTTTCAGTAGTTTATACTAATTATTCAGGAGTTCCTATTGTTTAAAGCCACAATGAAATAGGTTGAACATCCAAGAGCTCCAGTAAGAGCAGCACCCAGGCTGTGCCCAGATCCTTTTCTATCTTCTTGGCTTAGTACAACTGTGTGAGGTGTCTCACCACATTTGTGAGGCCTGACTTTGCTCTGCTGCTTGCCCTAAGACTGAGTGTATGCTTCATTCGCAACAGCATCTTAACTCCTGTCCTTTGGGAGCAGACTAAAGGAAAGTGGGGAAGACAGCAAAGAACAGGAAGGGGAGAGTGGGGTGGAAAAATAGGGAGGAAGTGCAGAAAAGCAGGATGCTGATGTCTGTTGGGATCAAGAGCCTGTTTGCTTTCCTGTCCTCCACCCACTTGAGACTCACCATTATCATTATTCTTTCTCCTCCTCCTCTTTCCACACTTTGAATTTCAGGAAAATATAAACGATAAAAATTTTCCCTTTTGGCTGTGGATTGAAGGAATTTTGGAGCTTATTAAGAAGCATCTCCTGTGTCTCTGGAATGACGGGTAAGACATGAGTGGAGTTCACCAAGATGTGGCTATTGCCTCAAGCCTTTCACTTGAGCCAGCCGTTGCATCCTCAGGCTGTGACCTTGTGCATGTGTTATTTTGGGTGCAACAAAGTAGAACCTGCAACCAGAAACGTTTGGGGGAAAAAAATCGAATAGTGATGTCATCCCTACTGATGCACGTGCTTGAATAAGTGTCAGATTGTCACCTTATGTGCCACTAAAACCACAGAGGAGTCATGCCTTGAACATTAAGTTTTCATCTCCATGTGAACCATATCCTTTCTTCGCACTCTAGAAGAGACCCTCCTTCTGTTTGTCAGGGAAGACTAAAGTCCACAGAATGATTCATAAAGAAGTTATCCATATTTAAAAAAAAAAAAAAAACACAACCTCACAAACATTGAGCTTTTTTGAGGGGGTGTGTGTAGGTGGCAACAGCCAGACTTTAAATCTTTATGCCAGTAGCAGGAGTTAATCTTCACTGATGTTTAGATTAGAAGGTAGTAAGGCTGACAATTGCTCCATCTTGCTTCATTCAGCATTCACACCACCAGCTCCTGTCCTTCATAGCAGAGCCTTATCCAGCCCACTTGCTGTCCAGCCCTGCTTCATAGCCCAAAATGCAGCGAGCAGGCGACGAGCACGCAGCACCGCTCACCACACGTCAAATCCAGAGGCGCCCAGAGTGTGCGTTCCTGCCTGGCCTGTGTGCTCTGCCAGCCGGGAGAGCTCTGCTCCAGCTCTTTCCCATTCACATCCATGGGCCAGGGCAGAGGCCACACTCAGACATCGCTGCTCAGGAGGGGACTGTGCCCCCTTTGAGGGCACGGAGGTGCCTCTGTCCCGAGCGCTACAGCAGGAGCTGCAGGGCTCCCCACGCTGCTAACAGACCCATCAGCTACAGAAGGTGAAGACAAACTCCACAACGCTCAGAGATACTCTAAAAAAACCACACCAAATACATAGTATCAATTTGGGTAGTGACTCCCTTTGCACACAAAGGGATAGGCAGTACAGCCTCAGGAACACCTGCCTGCCTTCTGCTTCATGCATGAGGAGTGGGAAGGCAAGGTCTTAGCATGCAAGGAGGCATTTACTATTCAGAGTACACTTGAGAACTAAACTACACTTAAAAAAAAAATAAGACAATAAGACACAGCTTACAGCTCCCAAAGTGAAAACTCTGTCACTTGGTAGTTTGTGTAGAGTACATTCCCTAGCTTAGGGTGCAGTATATAGTTACTATACAAAGCTTCATGGAAGGTTTTGAGGAAAAAGCAGTTCAAATAAGTTCCAGTTTTTTAAAGAAAGGTATTTAGGGCTTCACCAGGGTTATGAGCAGGTGCTAGCTTGTATGACTCCCTCCCCAGTAGCTGTTGACACAGGTCCATTCCCTGTTACCACCACCACCTTCATGGGTGCACAGAGCGCAGGGAGCTTTGGTAGTTGGAACAGCACAAGCAGAACAGCTTCTCAGAGCAATATGGATGAGGAAATTAAAACAAAAGCAAGAAACCCAAAAACAAAATAGCACCACTCACACACACCCCTACCTGGATGCAAACAGGTAACAGGAAAATTTAGTACCTATCATCTGCCAAAGAGAAAAGGAGCAATTGTCCTTAACCTAGTTTAAAGGCTAAAGCTGCTGTCTAGCACCCAACCACTTCTCTTTCCATTTCCCAGTTTTGGTAGCAAAAGTGGATTTCTTCATTTATAGCTAAAACAAGTGACCAGGAAGCAGGGAGAGATTCCTGACTTGGCGGTGCAGCTCCAGCCTGCTAGTGTTAATACTCCTTTCTCAGCCATTCCCAGAACAAGACTGCCTATGAGATTGCTAGGAGTACCCTGGCAGCGGGGTTAAGTGATAAGAGCTTTCTGGTTTTGCTTACTAGACTGGTACAGCTTTGATTTCGCATTGAAGGGTAAACTTTTGTTTTCCACATTACAGCTGCATCATGGGTTTCATCAGCAAAGAGAAAGAACGGGCTTTGTTGAAGGACCAGAGTCCAGGGACATTTTTACTAAGATTCAGTGAAAGCAGCAGAGAAGGAGCGATCACATTTACCTGGGTTGAAGGCTCGCAAAATGGTAAGCCACTCATAGAGAACATTTTTGTCCTCAAACTTAAGCGTATATCAGAAGGTTTTATGAAAAAGAAGGTTTTATGCTCTTTGCATTGAGCACCAACACAAGACATCACTCTAGTGGTACAATCTTTAAAAGCACCAGTTCACAAACCACAGCACACACATGCCTCAGGACACGCTACAGCATCCAGGGCACAGCTCAGAGCTTCAGCCAGGACTAAAGGTGCTTCTCAGTTCATCTTCAACAAACATTTGGGCTGAAAATATTAACTGCCTAGACTGTCACTTTCAGCCTAATGAAGGCCACACTTCTCAGTATGCTGTTAGCATATGCACATTCCTCTCTCTTCTATGCCCTTAGCACTCTGCTGCTGAGATATCTCTCATGGGGCAGTTCACTGTAGCTGCTCCCCATGCACTGGGCTTCACCTGCCTTTCACCCCCAGCCATCACACACAGCCCTTCCTTGCCCTGTTCTCCTAGGTAATTCACATAGTCACTTACTTCATTCTCCCTGTAGTTCTTCATTCTCCCTGTAGTTCTCCTTGTTCTTGCTTCCAGAGAGGGCCAGATGCTCCATTGGGTTCCTCATTAGCTAGAGTGTTTTCTCCTGCCTTTTATTAGTGCCCTCCCCCTTCTCATGCTGCCCAAATGCGCCCCAGCTGCCAGGGTGCCCCAGATCTGTAACAGCTGTAGAGAGAAGCTGCTTAGCATGATGGTGTGACCTCCTCCTAAGGGCCAGATGATCCATGGTGTTCCTCATTAGCTAGGGTGTTTCCTCCACCCTCTTTCAGAGACCTTAGAAAGGCAGAAGCTCCTGCCTTTTATTAGTGCCCTCCCGCTTCTCATGCTGCCCAAATGCGCCCCAGCTGCCAGGGTGCCCCAGATCTGTAACAGCTGTAGAGAGAAGCTGCTTAGCATGATGGTGTGACCTCCTCCTCTTCCTCCTCTGCTACCTTCTGAAAGGGAAGCAGGACCGTGTAGGCTCTAGGGGAGCCTCTTGCTCTCTTTGCATGAGAGCTCAAGAGGTCTATTAGGATCAAACTGCCTAGTGGGCAATAACATCTAAATGGCCTCTTCTAGAAGAGGCTGAAAAGGACTATTGACAGTAACTGGTTGCACTAAAGAAACACAGCAGTGAACTTCCATGGAGAGGTCATCCCAAAATGTGGGAAACGCCATTGCTGCGCGTTCCCCTGTCCCCTCTCCTGCCTTGCAAATCCGTGGTGCTTGCCCTCGAAAGCGGGTGCTGTAAAGGTGCTGTAATAATTTTGCATGGGGAGTTTACCCCCAGAAGCTTCTGTCCACGTGGCCTCTGAGGGGTGCTGCAGCTGCAGGCAGTGTTTCCTCAAGCCTTGAGACCACGTCGTCTTTGCGTCGTCTCCTCTCGTCCTAGAGCCCCAGTTCCACTCAGTGGAGCCGTACACCAAGAAGGAGCTCTGTGCTGTTACCTTCCCCGATATCATCCGCAACTACAAAGTGATGGCGGCCGAAAACATCCCCGAGAACCCGCTGCGCTTTCTGTACCCGGATATCCCCAAGGACAACGCCTTCGGCAAGTACTACTCCCGCCCGAAGGAGGGTGAGTGCCGGCGCGATCCGGGCGGCTGGAGCGCGGGGGGGAGGGAGCACTGCTTGGCCCCGGAGTCTGCGCTGCCCTCCCCGTGCTCAAGTGCCTGTCAGATAAGTGAGAACGGGCACCCGAGCAGCTTGGGTGAAAAAAAAGACACAGCCTGAGACCTTGTCAGATCAGAACCCGAGAACATAATTATTTCGGGCCCCCGACTTGGTGTCCATGTCTGTGTGTTGGAGACCCGCGAGATTCCAGGTGCCCTCCAGGCTGCCTGTCATCCTGGGCATCACTCTGGAACAGGCCGGCACGGAGCAGCGCTAGGCAGGCTTTGGTGCCCTGCTGTCTGCAGGAGAGAAGGGAAAACTGATCCAGTAATGAGCTACAGTGCTGTAAAACACGTGAGAGGAGCTTGCGTGTTAGTGGGCCATTAGCTTTATTTCTGGAAAAGTAAAGGTGGCAACGTGAAGGAAACTTGCTAAAAACAGCTGCTGTTTTTGCTTTTTTCTCCCTCTCACTTTGAAGCTCCAGAGCCTATGGATTTGGATGGGCCCAAGGGAAACGGCTACATCAAGACTGAGTTAATCTCCGTATCTGAAGTGTGAGTTGGCACTAAAATGCTGGATTTCTAGGAACTTAATGTAATTTTGCAGCTGTAGTTCACATGTCTTCGTAATATTGAAGGTGCAGTTGCCCGAGCTATCACATCTTTCTTTCTATTAAGGCTTGAGAACGTGGTCACACCACCCACGTAATATTGCCATGATTGAAAAATGTAATCTCTTAGGTAAAAACCCTAGGAATTTAGCAACAGTTGTAATGACAATGACTTGCAAAGCAAGCTCTGGAGGACATGGATGCAGGTCGGGGTGCGTTCCTAGCTCCGGCTTCGCTGGGAGCCCCAGCGGGCCTCGCTCGGTCTAACTGCTCCCCTCTTCCTGCCAGGCACCCGTCGAGGCTCCAGTCCCCAGAAAACCTGCTGCCCATGTCTCCGGAGGAGTTCGATGAGGTGTCCCGCATGATGGGCTCCGCCGAGATCGATACGGTGGTACGTGCCGCAGCCGGGCTGCGCTCTGGGGGCTGAGGTGCTGGCGCTCCGCTGAGGAGCGGGAGCGCCCAGGCGCCTTGCTGAGGCAGAGAGGAGGGCTGGAGGCCGGGCCGTCGTTCCCGTGTGGCGCGTGGGGCGGCCGCGCGGCCCGCCGGCGCTCACGGCTCGCGGCGCTTCCCTCCGCAGATGTGCTCGGCCTACTCCACCTAGGTGGCGAGTCCCACCGCGGCGCTGGGCGCCCTCCCGCCGGCCCGGCAAGCCCTGCTGCGGGGCCTTCACCCTATCACGTCACCCCGGCGAGCCCCACGGCGCTACCTTCGCTCCGTCCAGCCCTGCTGCGCCGCCTTCACCCTGTCACGTCAACCCGGCCAGCCCCGCTGCGGGGCCTTCACCCTATCACGTCACCCCAGTGAGCCCCGCTGCGTCGCCTTCCCTCTGTCATGTCACCCCGGCAGGTCCCGCTGCGCCACCTTGCAAATCCCTTGTCCCAGACCTGGCATGAGCAGGAGGAGAGAGGAAGTTCTCATCTCTCCAAGAGGGGAGTGAGAAATCTTCAGGAAGACCTTAGGGGCAGACGGGAGGAACATGCATCTTTTTTGTAAAGCGAAGTAGTGAAATCTAACATTTAAAGTAGCTGGCTGTACGTAGAAGGCTCTGAAGCTCTTTTACAGGGATGGTGCTCAGCAAGCTGGCACTGCCTCCCCGCTCTGCTTCCAAAGACCTTCCGCAGCTCTGAATTTTCTTCCACAGCTTAGAAAGGGGAGCAGCAAAACCCTCTTCAAGAATCCTGCAGCACCAAGTCTGGGCATTGAAGTCTCTCCTGACTTCTCAGCTTTCCTAAGGGCATGGCCTACTGCTTTGCAGGAGAGTCTCCCATGAAAGCACCGGCCTTTCGTTTCTGCTCACTTCTTGGTGAAAGGTCTCTCTGGATGGTTTCGCACCATCTCTTTTTCATAAAAAGCACTTTTTGGAGAAGAACCCTCAGAGAAGGGTTGGAAGGGGCTGCTCCTCACCCTCTTGATCTTACCAAGGCAGGATCTGCTCACTGCTAGCTTTGCTTTTTACAGTAGTATCTGCCTAACTTTGGTTATGATGGTCAGTGTGGCACTTAGGTCCCTTAGGCAGGACGAATCCGGGCATTTATCTCCCCGGGGCCTTGGGCAGGCGCAGGGGACGGGGCGCAGGGCCGTGACGTGACGTTTGCATCGAGTAGCAGCTGCGGCCACGAAGCTCCGAGCGGATCCCAAGCTGGCACAGGGGGAGCTCCAGGGAGGCCGTCACCGCTTGGCTTGTGCCAGGATCCGGAGTGCCAGGTGAGCAGCTGCCCTAGGGCCCCTGTTAAACAGCAGCCGCCTCTGAGGACCTTGGTACAAGAGCAGGGTCTGGTCTGTGAGCTGCAGCTTGTGTTCATGCTCTCCATGCATGGCCTGGTTCTCGGTACTTTCACGTTCTATTTCATCTAGCAGAGACAAATTTTCATGGGAGATTTAAAGCAACAGCCTTATTATTCATGGTTTTACCTTTAAATGAAGAGTCCTTCTAAAAGCAATGTTTTTTTTTTCTTCTCCAGAAGAATATTATTTCTTTTGTCATTTAAAATAAACTGAAGTGTCCATGGCACTTCTGTCCTTCCTCTTGTGTTTTTGGTTATTACTATTACACAGTCCTGCATCTTGGAGTCTACTGTGTATTCCACGCCAAATGGATTCTGTGAAATCAGGCAGCTGGTTGTTGTTGCTCCCACAAGCAGCTGAGCAGATGGAGCAGCACCTTCAGCAACAGGGACGTTTTCGGTGGATCCAAGCAGCCTGCGCCACTGCACGGAGCCGGATCCTGTCCCGTGCGGAAGGGCCGGGAGCAGGGCGAATTTTCGGGACAGGACCTCACATGGGAACTGCAGCCGCGTCGACGGGGAATAAAAACCACCACCGCCTTCCTGGTATTCCCATTTATTATGCTGTAAAAAGCAACATCACCTGGATAGTACTTCTTAAAATAAATAACTTTCATTCTCAGAACCAGTACAGCTCAAATTTAGATTCATTCATGGGAAACTGCTAGAAATACATTCATCACTGTCTATTCCCCACAGTACAGAATCTAGAGTCGAGATCAGCCCAGTCAGGTACAACGAGCAGAAATCCCCTGCCAGGAGGTAAGGGCACTGGGAGGCCAGCTCTGAAGCAAGGGAAAAAGGAAAAAAAAAAACAGAAGAAACAACAAAAAGCTGGTACAACACCTTTCATTCACGAAGCTAGGCTAATTAATGCTAAGACTAGCACAATATTTCTGTGTACAAAGCATTAAGTTAGCTTAACCATTTCGGTTTGTGGTACAAAAGCACATACATGACATTCAAATGAAGGAGTGGGGGGAATAATCCTCTTTGGAGCATAAGGAATCAGCATTGGGTGAGATAACCAAAAGCTGTTTACTCAGATTAAAGTTTACATGTCAGTGTCATGAAAGATGAACAGCCAAACCAAGGTACTGCATATATTGGAAGTAACTCCATGGCTAAAAGACTGCACTAAACTAATGCATCAAAGTAACAAATCCTCCCAGAAGGAGAAAACACCAAAAAACAGCAGAAACGCCCTGAAGCTGAGACTGGCCACAAGCACTCAGTATGATTCAGGAAAGCATTAAGTTCAGGGACAGCCATGATCTTTATGCAACTCAGGTAAAATGCCTTTTTTCTCTTACATATATATATGTGTGTGTGTGTTTGTGTGTATATATATATATATGGTGCATATATAATATACCTTCTTTAATGTCTGAGCAATGCAAATTTAATTTTAGTTAAATCAGATATTTTTCTGAGAAGCTAAAGGATAAATTTTCTTGCAAAAAAAAAAACATAGGAAAAGCTAGATCAGCATTGAGATGGAGAACACTACAGTCCATCTGAAGGACTTGATTCCTCTATACTAAATTTTGATGGATTTCTTGCCAGCAAAAACAGGTTGCGATTTAGTTTAGGGTGCAATAGAAAGGGAAAAAAAAAAAAAAAAAAGGCCTTGTGCTACTCAGTAGTGACCAATCTGGCCCCTAAGGAGCTCAGGGCCATTTCATCTTGTTCAAAAGTGGAAGTGACACAGGACGTGAAGGCCATGAGTTGGGAGATACTCGGTCTTCAGGAAAAGAGCCGCTCCTCACAAAAACAGCAGCTTTTTCTTTTTTTTTCCTGGAGAAAAAGTGCCAGCCGAGCTGGCAAGCTGGGAAAGGTGTTTGGGACTTCCAGCTCTTCCTGGAATTCCCTGGTTCCTTGTGGTGGCCTTTGAGCCGCTCTCCATGGAAGTGGCCTGGGGAAGGCACGGGCGCTCCAGAGGATGCCCTCCGACCTACCCCCACCTGCCACATCATTCCCAGGAAATCGCTTTGGGAAGGAGGATAACGTGGTTCGAGGAGGTTTGCGTGAAGCGCCTGCACCGCTCTAGGGAGGGTTCAGCCACTATGACAGGAGGGCTGGTACCCACACAGGCGATTCTCCAGCATCATCTCCTTTCCCACACACTGCATCATTCCTGCCCCAAAGCTGTGTCCAGCAACTGTCGTGTTTGTCAAACTCTCAAGTTCAAACGCTCGCATTGGAGGTTTTCACGACATGGGTCAAAACACCCACATGCGGGATAGGGGATACCCACGTGCTCACGCCCTGCAAAGCCCCTTTGCTCCATGGTCCTCAGCACGAGCTTCAACTAAAGCCAATTTACACCAAATATTTGGTTCGGTCCTCGGCCTTTCCCAGACCTGCAGCCCCCTCGCTGGTTCCTGGAGCAGCCGCCAGCCCCGGGGACGCCGCGGGACGAGCGGGAAGCGCCAGGACGGCCCCACGCGGACAGGGAGACCGGGCGGAGGGCTCCGAGGGGACGTCGGTGCCTGGCGCCGCTTGGCCGAACCAACCTTGGAGCACGTTCCCTGACGAGACCACGGCTACCGCCACCAGTACAGTCTTCCCATAGTTGTATTATACAAAGTTGTGTGGAAATGATGATTTTTTTAAAACCAAGTGCAGATCTTTGCTTAACACACCCAGCCTACACCCACATGAGCTTCCTCAGCTCTCGGCACAGCCTCCCTGGCGCTCGGACACGACACTGCTCCGGCTCTGGAAACACAGGGCTTTAGAAACAAGAGAAAAAGCAGCGGGAAATTCGTGACCACAGACTAGAGCTCACACACAACACAAAAATAAATTAAGTAGTGCACGGTAAAGCCAACAACAGCTAAATATTTTTATACATCAATTATATGCAGCATGAGGTAATATTGCTCACATTATAGAGGGAGATTCTTACTTGGTTTCTTTTTTTTTTTTCGTTTTTTTTTTGAGAGAGAAAGAGATTGGATTTGTCCTGTGCGTATAGAAACTCCTGTAACATAACACTGAAGTAACAGAGACTTCTGCAAAATATATACCACTATCAGATAGAAACACACACGCTCTTCATTACTTATGCATACCACAATTAAATAGGTAAGTGATTCGATTCTTGGGCTCAAGCTGAGGGTGATTACAGTAAACCGTCGAGGTTTTTGTGAACCGTTCGGTTCTCCTTTCCGTTGTTGGGATCCTCCGACGGCGTGTACTGGACCTGATACTCTTGAAGGATTTTAAACACATCGTGGTGTCCAAAATGTAAAGCTTCATCCATTGGAGTGTTATTCCACCTGCAAGAAGGACCACAGGATTTCTAAGATCAGCATGCAAGCATGGAGCCAAAAGCACCCCGAAAATCGGGTTCTCTACACTTGGAATAACGGAGTGCATAAAACACACTATTCAACAACCATGAAAGTGCTCTACGAGCTCAGCATAACCTTTTATGTAACGATTATAATGGTTTCACCATGTTTTATTTCTACATCCTCTGCAGAGAGTACAGAGAAGGCATCGGATTCTTCTGCTTCAGCACGTCCGCCTAATAACTTCTGCTATTAACGTGTCTGTTCTTATTGTACTTATTAACAGATACGTCTCCTTATGTAATTAGCTAATAGAGCACCTCTCCTTCAAGGCAGCAGCAGCACAAACACCTACCTGTCTTTGGGAAAAGGATTCACTTTGCATGCTTCCAGTAAAAATTTAACGACATCCACGTGTCCTGGAAGAAAAGCGGGATTATATACATGTAAAAATGCATTTTATTCTACATAAATATAAAAAAATATGTATTTTATAGGTGTGTATGCATATATAGGTATATATATATATATGTATATATATACACGAACACAAATGCACACACACAAAAATAATAAAAAAGGGTATTTATATAAAGAGTGGAGATACTTTGAAGATAATTGTCCCAATTCCATTAATAGATGGCAAATTACACAGGAGGAGCCGGTACCTTCTGCAGCCGCTACATGCAGTGCTGTTCGTGAGTCGTAATCTCTTTGTTCCATATCCATTCCTGATAGAGCAAATCTAAAAAAAAAACAGTTTGTAGACTTTTAAAGCAACCGAAATGCATTAATTAAAAGCCATTAGAAGCCCATTAATAGCAGCTATTTGCTTGTGCCGTGGCTCCGGTCTCCCCATCCCGCACACGGGCCCACACGAGGGTGGATACGGAGCACGCGGCTCCCCCGGCCCCGGCCCCGCGCCCTTTTACCTCCGCAGCGCGGACACGTCCCCCGTGTAGGCGGCAAACAGCAGGTTTATCACAGACTTCACCTAGGGAGAGACACGGAGGCCGGTCGGTTTATCGGGCCCCTTCACCCAAAGGGAAGACGAGCAGAGCGGGACCGCGTCGCGGCGAGATCGCCACAAGGCCCCGCGGCTCCGAGCGGCACCCCCGGAACAACCATAAACCCCATGGAAAGCACCCGTTCCACGGAGCAAACTGAGAGAAACCCATGCGAGGAGAAGGGAGGCAACGACAGCACGCTTGCCTTAAGACACAGCTTTTCCTAGCACGCATCTAATATAAAGGCTTTCCTACAAACGAACAATTCTAAGCAATTTTGTCACAAAACGAACGGCTACAGGAAAAGCAAAGCTGCAGGCAGAGGAAGGTGGGATCTTTTTAGCCCAAACAACACGGGTAAACTCTCAGGCAAGGAGCATTTTCTCGTCTCACCTGTATTAAAGATTAATAAAGGAAAAATGACACCTTTAGCTACAAACCTCACCTTGCCCCACGGCGGAGGCAGCCGGGGGACAACAACTCTACACGTTTTCTCCTTGCAGGGGAACTCGTTTTAGTCATCTTGACATCGCATCAGGATGACTCAAGCGTTCCCGCTGCCCAGAGAGGCAGATCTACATTAAAAACATTCCTTCTCTCCCCAGAATAACTTTCCCAGTGCTGCCGAGGCAGAACATCGTCCTGGATTCCACCCCATGTAATTTGCCAAAAAGCCTTTTTCATTTTCCGGGTCTGCTTGAACAGAAGTTAACCTTGAGATTCCTTCTACGTCCTCCTGAGGATCACGGCCCCATCTTAGGCCACATCACTCAGCAATCTCAGAGGAGGTGAAACTCCTCCTCTCTCAAGTTAAATATTGTAAACTCTAAGCTCACATACTATAAAATCAACCTCTTACCTGATCAAGAAATACAAGGGCAGGCAAAAATACATAAGCCTGTTTAGGTCAAAAATAAAGAAGTTTGAGGGGAACCGTGACTGCTGCCTAAAGAACAGTAAAAGTGGTGGGATACAGGAGCAGAAGACAACGCAGCCCAAGGAGGCACAAGGAGACATTCCAGCTTCCACTCCCACTCTCGGCAGCATGGAACAGATCAAAAAGTGTTCCTGGATTTGAGAAGGGATTGCATGAAATGTCTCAGAAGGCAATAGTAAACGTCAGCAACAAAATTCAAATAGCTGGAATACCAAAACTGCCTTGAGCTCAAAGTAAGGCTACGGAGTCTCCCTGAGCATCTTCTGGCCCCAAACAGTGCGTGGAAGATCACCCTTGTTCTTGGGATTGAGCACAGCTCGCAGGCAGGATGCTCTGCGCTTGCACGAGGGCAGCCAGGAAGCCCAGGGCAAAGCGCAGGCGACACCGACAAACGCACGTCAAGATCCGCCAGCCTCAGCTCGCTGCCCACGAACAGCGTTTCCTCCTGCGTTCAGCGACACACACACACACGTATATATGTGTATGTATGTATATACGGGCTCGCAAAAGCCCCTGTCACCTCTCCAGCGCATTTTCCACGGCACCCACGCGGGTCCCTTCACGCGCAGGTGGCGCAAGCCCTCGTGCAGCGCGCGGCGCCCCGGAGCGCCGTCCCGTCCCCTCCAACCCGTCCATCCCGCGGCTCCTCGCAAGCCTCTGGAGCCCCATTGCCGGCGTCAGGGTCACCGCGGGCCCGGCCGAGCCCCTGCCCGCGGGGGCTGCCCGCACGGAATTAACCCGCGGAGCCGCGACCCTTCCCGCAGCTCCGCAAATATCCACACGGCGGCACGAGGCCCTGTGGGAAACAGAGTTCCCTTAACCGAGAAGGCAGGGAAAAAACCCCCACACGAAAATGAAGCGCTACTTTATGCAGCCCTCAAATTCTCAATTACAACCTGCAAAGCAGAGTATCAATACTGAATTTTACAGTAGGTTTTCTTTCCCCATCCCTGCCTGAAATCTCTCCTGCACCAGGATGCTTTGAAGCAATCTGGATTTTGAAGAACATCCACCAAAATGAGACTCCCTACCAACGGGCGCAGCTCCACGCTCATCTTGCTGCCAGCCTTTTGGGTCTGTTACTGAGCTATTTTATGTACAATTTTTAAAGCACAGTAAGGAGGAAACAGCAGCTGTGCCCTCCACTGCCGAGCGCATCCAGCACTATGGAGGACAGCCTGAAATCCCAGATCAGCTCTTGCTCGTAAGCTGTTTAAATTGCACAGAATCTCTTTAATTAAGTGGAATAAAGACTTAAATAACCGGAGCAATAGCCAGACTGAAGGAAACGCCGACTTACCTCCAAACCCAGCGCTTCTTTCAAGCGCCCTCGCTCTCCCCCAGGGGCTCCCCGAGGGCCCTAAGGTTTTCACCACTGCTGAGGCCAAAAGCAGTGTGAGCAGCACCCGGTTTGGGCCGCTAATTCTCATTTCTTCCAGCATGAGACTTGATAAGGCTTTTTATTTTTGGAGACGACAGAATTAAGGCAAACACTGGTGGGTTTGCCAGTGTCAGACACAAAGCACCGCGCCGCCCGTTCTCTGGGCGCACGGTCGCACACCGGCTGGGTATTCAGACACCTTCACACGCTGCCAAGGTTCAGAGGAGGCTTGTGAAGACCGACCTAGCAAAAAGCTAATGAGAAGAGCTGCAGAAAGGAACCACTTCCACGGGCTTGTGGCTTCCTGAGCAGAGAGTGGAAAATCTGACCTCCCTCCTGCACGGACGCCAAGAGACGTCGCCGCTGCCTTGTCCACCACGAGTGACACCATAGGGGAACCCTACGTGCTGCTGTGGCTACGAGTGCACGAAACACAACAACAACAAAATCTTGACAAGTGGAACGGGATGAATCCCGACTCTTTGGAAGCAGGAGGAAAACAGGAGCCTTTGAAGTAGCGGAGACAGACGTGATGAGCGCTGCGAGCTTGGGGACCAAAGGGTCGGGATGGGGGTGATGGGAGAATAAAAAGAGAAAGGTACTTATCATACAGAGACCTGAAGCTACACATATAGCCCAAACCGCGGGCCTACAAGGGCAGAAAAAAAATTAAAAAGATCCTGAATGAGTAATTCCTGACCAAACAATGAGGTTGTCTTCCTCAAGGAAAACGTGTGACCAGTGAATCACTGCAGCAGGAAGCAAGCGAGGTTATCTCTTCCTATCGCCCAGCTCCGCGTGCCCAGGGCTTTGTTTGGCTAAAACTCCCTCTCACCACAAGAGCTGCTAAAAGCAGCTGTTCTCTCTCGCACTTTCTCTCGGCAAATAACTCACCTCCGAGCCCGGATCTAGCCCATGGATTTGAAAATGAGAACAAAAGCGGCAACGCTTCTTCTAAAGTCCTACTTTCGATTCCGTTTTTAAAGAACAAATCAGGATTTGGTAGGAAAATCCCGCGGGAGGCAGTGTCAGCAACTGCAGAGGCTGTTGTCACTGATGCCCTTTGGAGGATTCCCTGGCTGGACACGGGTCTCCCCATACACCCACAAGCACCGCGGAGAAAACACAGGAGCTGCTGTCACGAGCTGCAGGAAGGGAACATTTCAACAGGCTGTTGGAAAAACAAATTGGAAAAACACCGGAATAGTCACCTGGAGACGTTATGGCATCTCCGTCCGGGGAAAATTAACACGGGAGCGCCCCAGTCCCACAATCTAACTCGGATGTCAGAAGCTGCTTTGAACTGGGGCTCCCCTCCATTTCCATTCCACCTCACCCTTGCAGTGCTAAAGAGGGAGACTTGAAATCCTGCATACCAGCAACCTAAGAGAAAACCCAACCTAATAACTGCACTTAGCTATCAAAGGGCATTCCACCACAAATACACCCATTTTTAAAATAACAGAGAGCTGGTGGTTGTTTTTTAAGCATGGTTTCCTCCTGACTTCCGTAACATCTGGAGCACCAAAAGCATTTCTACCCATTAAACAGCTGCAGGTAACACAAACGAGAAAAGAAATTAATGCAAGCTATGAAACGTGCATTTTTTTAATGGTCAGATAATATGCCGGGCATATTACTAGAAAAAAATGAAAGAGAAAACTCATATTATTCAGTAACGCAGACAAAAACGCCTCGTTCCTTCCGCAAGCATCAAGGATGCCAAGAAACGGTGCAGGAGGCTCCGTGGGAGGAACAGACAGGCCAGACCCACGCGAAGCACAGCCAAACCCAAGTGTCCCTGCGTATCCAGGGCCCAAATAAAACAAGGTTTGGGGACGTTCTGGAGAGCAGAAGTGTTTTTCAAGTTCTCTCCTTTTCCTTTCAAGTTCTCTCCTCCGTCGCGGGGTCCCCCATAGAACTTGGCTTCCTGCTAAGCGGGAGCACTAGAAGTAGCAGAGCCCTATTTCTCTCCCAGCCCGAAATCACAACTTGCTGTTTTTAAAATCTGCCTGACCCAGGTGCAAACTGGTGCAAAAGCCACCACTACGTCTCCTCTGCCAGTCTCTCACTCAACCTCTGCACGAGTCAGCTTAATTAAAGCATAAAATCAGATATAACCACTAACAACGTCAGACTTGCTGTGCATTTAAATACACACAGGCACATCAGAGCGGTCATTTTTATAAGTAAACTGCATGCAGAATTTTGCCACTTTAAAGTCCTGCAGAAAGCATTTAAATGGTTAAAACTCAAGTGAAATCTGAAGTCTGCATAAAGTAGTATTAGAAGTTAATCAGACAATTAACTTCTAGCTTGCCCAAAAGCAAAAGGAAACGGGACACTTCTCTTTTGTACACAAAGCTCTCAAGAAGGAACACGTGGTAAATCTAAAACTAGGCTCTTGACTTTTAAGGAAGTTGTTTTTTGATTTAAACCACAACCAACTATTAACACGCCAAGACTTACACTCCTGAAACGAGATGGACCCGTACAGCAGCCATCTCTTGGAAACACTGCTGTAACACACACTATTACCATGTGTTATCTAGACCGGACAACAAATCCAGAACAGACAAAAACAGAGTGATTTAAAAAGTGCATTTTTTTGTTAATGTCACAATTCATAACTAACTACTCTGCTCAGGCCCTCGGTATTGTGCATCAATGACATGTATGTATCAAGACCAGGAGAAATAAGAGCAAATTTTCTAAAATAACAAACATATTTGGATGACTCAAGCTTGACTTCCCACTCCCACACAAAATGACTTTTGACTCCATTCCCTTTTTATTCCTCTACCCACCCAATGGTCTTAGGCAAGAAATGCACAGCGAAAAGCAAAGAAGAAAAAAAATACAGCAAGTGGCCCTTCTACGTAGCTTTCCTTGTCCTAGTTTGCTTTTGGAGCATAAACAGTTCTCCTTTGCAGCTCTCTACAGATGACCACACGTCTCATTTCAAAAGCAGCTTATAAAGCAATCTGCAAAAAAGTGACATTAATAATCACAGTCACCCTCTCCTGACGGGGATTTTCTGTTGATTTTGGACACACAGATGTAACTAACAACTGCCCAGACCCCGGCGTTGCTCTTGAGAAGTGTAATGATTTGGAAGACCCTCCTTCTACCTGTGACTTAATTCCAGCTACGCTGCCGGCTTCGCAGCCCTCGGCATCAACGCGCGCTCCTCCGTCCCTGGCAGCATTAACCACTTTTCCTAAAGGCTGCCTTTACACATTCAATAGTGCACAAACACACAAGGACATTTGTGACGTTACTACTGCACGAGCACATTTATCATTATTGGGGAGAAAAAAAAAGAAAGAAAAATGACTGGAAGTCTTACTGTGTTTTTCACTGTTAACTTTAACAATTCACAGAAAAAGATAATTGGAATTACTGTACAAAATGTTTGAGAAATGACTGATTTAACTAAACTTCTTTGATTTAAATACTTTTTCAAACTTTATCACAATCCCATTTCAGTCTCGAAAATGTATTTGAGCAAATCTGTCCTACGGAGGAAAAAAAATACAATAAAACCGGCTTAAAATAAATTTATTAAACAATACAAAAATAAGCATGCTGGAAATCAAGATACATAAATAACATACAATGCAAATGAAAATGGAAAACGAGACAGGTAACTTAACAACTGAGCGAAAAGGTACAACGCCAATGCTAAAATAAAATCTTTAAAAAGCATTTACATTTCTAATGAAATGTTAACGATGCTGACAAAGGGAAAAACAACGCACACAGAACACAGCTAAAATGCTTGAATATCAAGAATTGCCATAGGTGAACACCAAACCGTCGCGGGGCAGCGCGACGCGGGGCCCGCGGGACCCCTTCGCCACCCTCTCGCCGGAGGCCGCCTTCCATTCCCAGCCAGGCTCCAAAAGCATATATTACAAAACTGTAATATATATATATGTTTTTATACTTAAAAGATTGTGCAAGCTGTACCCTAAATATTAAGCACATTTAAGATCTAGTCGTCTCCTTTATCTTACGTTTCCCAAGCAGGACTTCTCTGTTTTCAACTATATTTTTAGGATGAGATCCAAACAGGGCCAAATTCCGAAGGAACGTGTTTCAAACTGCAACAAGCAAATCCTGCCTCATCCACGTTCCGTTTAATTAATTCAGTGATTTAATCAGCAACATGCACTCATCACTGTAAATTCTCCTCTTCGTTAGCAGCACAGGCACATTATGTTCCCTCTTCCAGCTGAGCATGGCTCAGGTAAACACACACAGGTTTGCAGGATCTGGATGCTCGTTACCTCTCTCACTATCATTTTACTGCAAGATCCTCAAACAGGTGAGAAATTTTGGTACTTCAAAACTTTACCTTCGTTCACTTAACTTTCAAGATAAGTATTGAAAAACCTATACTAAATATCAGTGATAAGATCATAAAATAGCTATTAAACAGCAATTCATTACTGACATCTGCACCACAGATGTACCTATTCATTCCACAAGGACTTCAAATACACTGAATAGGTCATTTTCTGTATCATCTTGCCTAAATTTTTTAATAATAGGCTTCACACACAGAAATCTGATCCATTTACAACATATTGCAAGAGGATGATTATTTGAGGTTAAGTTAGAGCTTATTAAAATTATTAATAAATTACTTCAATGCTTTTGCAAGACTAACAAAACCTAAATGGAGTAATTAAGACGAGCTTTCATTCACAGACAACATATGCTTTGCTTTATGCTTCTTTGATTCAGACTTCCAGATGGGCCAACAAGAGGAAAAGGAAATCAGTAACTTTCCCCTCATGCAAAAGTAACAGTTTAGAGTTTTAGATAAACTGAAAATGGGAAGGGATTGGCAGAGGGTGTAAGGTTGGGGATTTACTTAGGAATCTGCCATCGTTACCTCTTTTAGTTGCCTGTGAGCTTTTTTTGAGCTTTTTTTTTTTTTTTTTTACACAGTTGAAGGAATGTCATTTCTTGTTATTTGGAAAGTTTGTCCGAGTTTCCCAGAGTTTATAAACTAGGCCTCTATGACATTTATATTTTTTGTTTGTTTTGTAGATTTTTTCAGCATTAAAAAAATAAAATAAAATAGCTATGATTGCCAAGAATTTAGCAAGTCTGTGTCCTAGCCCAAAATTGCCTACTGAGCCTAACTATTAAAAGCTTATAGCTCATTTCACATATCCTGTCCAAGATAATCTAAATAATCGGATACTTTTGAGTAACAGATGCAGTCGTGTTACAGGAAAAGAACAAAAGTCCTGATTCTTAGCAAGAGGCCAGAGGTGCAAATTCACTTGCGTATTTTTTTTTAAAAAAACCAAGCTAATGATAGCATTTCAATTTGTGCACGTGCAAGTAAAAGGGGCCTTTGTTCATATGCATGGACACACATATGAACACGCACGCACGCTGGCTGCTGAAAGGCTGATTGGAATCAGCTGTAGGGACTGGCCGAAACGATTCGCTCGGACACGTTTCCCGCTGGATTCGTGTCACAACCACGGGCCGCTACGTTGGCCGCCTTGCAGACAAGGCCGGGTTGGGATTTGTTCATCTTCTCCCCCTCCTCCCCAATGCTTTCTTCCCCCGGCACCGCTGTTGCTCTTTTATTCAAATATTAGTATTCAATCATTTCTAAAGGTTTTACCAAAAATATATCATTTACACATCTGGGCATAACTGAGGGATCCATTTCTGGTAAACACCATTGGAATGTTCGTCTTATAAAAAGGACACTGTAATAACAAAACTATCTCCATTTAATATACAATTATTTGGGAATTTATGACCTGATTATTACTTCATGTTATAAGGTATTTTTTCCTGTATTTTCACATTCTTAGCCTGATCAGAGGACACATCTTATCTTGCTTAGTGCTAGAATTAATTTACTTAAAATTCTCAGATATAAACAAAGTACATGGATATACACAAAAGAGGTATATTGTTCAAAGCATTCAGTTTCATCTTTTTAAAGTAAGCGTGCTTTAAGAAACTACAATAGTTAGCAGTTTGGGGGGTTTTGTTGTTTATGCATCTTTTTGAACTTTGACAGTCTTTTTGGTATAGCATACAAAATTTATACAATATTTTATATATAAATGAAATACCAGGCAAACAGTATCTAAATGAGAGTTAAATCTAGAGATGCTTTGAGGGTTTTAAAATGAAGAGATTTATGAAACTAGAACCCATTCCTTTAGTTTTGCTCTCCCCGACCTTCCATTCTATACACTACGGTTCTGGAGATGTCCTCGTTTGATTCTGGTGACACTTTTTTCCATACTGTTTCTTTTAAAGCAAGTTCTTGCTGGAGATTCTCATAGTCCATTGGTCCAAAGGAATGCTAGTTGTTCAAGCAACATACATTATTTATTAGTGTATTTGAAGGGGAAAAGAAAAATTGCAATCAACAAACTCAAGTTTTATCTTTCTTTACCTGTTCACATATAAACTGATATTTTCTCTTTTCCAGTTATAAACAAAGTGGTTAATTCTTAGCAGTATACATGCAAATAAAGACACTTTCAAAATGATCCTACGGCTTCTGCTATGGAAGTCTCCATGCTTTAGGTCAAAAGCAGAGGTGGTGACGGAAAGCCCAGGGGCTTCCCTCATGCCAACGCCCCAGGCTCCCGGTGACAGCGACGTCCCCCTGCATACGCAGCTGCCCTGGATGTGGCCGCTGCCCCGGGAGCGCTCGTCCCGCTCCGCAGTGACAGGCACTGGGCGGCAGCAACACCAGGCCTGAGGTCGCTGCCTGCGCGGCTCTCGCCAAGAAATGGGGTCTCAGGGGCATCACCATGAAAATACTGAACACGCATCTCATGCACGGTAGCACAGAACAGAAAGCCACAAATTGGACAAGTCTCTACTAAAATGCAGCCAGAAGAGTAAAATACTTTGTGACTTCTATCAAATACTTATTCTAATCCCTTGTAGTTCTTTTACCCGATTAACAGAATTCTGTTTCACAAAATCCTGTCATAGTGCGGTCCACCCGCGTAGGCATCCACTAAGGAACTAGTTTATCTAATTTATCTGAAAGTTTTGATGCAATACATGTCATTGAGCAGTTTTACATCTAGAGAGGAACTCTAGATTGTTCACCTGAACTCTACAAATGATACTCACTGAAAACATGTATCCACTTACCCGCTGGTCACCACCTTCTCTGCGCGGATCAAGCTTCTTCGCAAAGTGTCTCAAGTTATCATAGTTGTGGAAATTGCACAGAGAAACCAAATCCTGAAAAATATTTAGAGAACATACATCACCCTTTGCATATACGACAATTAAGTGCAAATAAGATTATAATAAATGATGCTAAAAACTTCTGTTTTACATCTGTGTACAGGAGTAAGAATTATTTATCTCATGTTTTGGAAACCGTATACAACTACAGAAGAAAAAAAGAGTACATAAAAGTTCTCTGGTTTCTGATGTGGCATGCAGAAGACCAGCTTACCGTTATATCATGAAGTACTCTTTTTCAAAAATGTTTCCATAGTGTTTCAGGAATACTGATGGCCTTGAGTATTTCCACATGCTCACATGCATGCTTACATGCTGATTTATTACGAAAATGCAAAGTTATTTCCTTTTCTAGGATGTCCACCCTTAGAACAGACCAGACTTAGCATGTATGGAAGACTAAAAATCACCATTTAATTCAGTCAGATCTCTGCTGAATTCAGCTAAATGAAGTTCAGCAGTCATAGGCTGCAAAAGAAAAGAATTACTAAAGGTAAAGCTACTTACGTGACAAAAGTGAATTCCTTTAACACTGTTGCCCATCTTGTCCAAAGGAGGTGACCAGCACATCAAGCCCATAACATTAGGAACAACCAGAAGAATCCCACCAGCAACACCAGATTTTGCAGGAAGACCAACCTATAGAGAAATCAGAGAATTGGTGTCCCCTGCAGACATTTTTAAGACAGTACAACAGCATCTATACTGAGGATTATTATGCTGCACTTTCAAAAGGTAGTGCTGGAAAGCACTTTAAGCTGGGAAAGCATTATTATTTATCTCCTTGGATAGATAATAACTTGAAGTACAGTTCAGCACAGCTTGAGGCACACAATCATTAAGTTATTTGCTTTCAATAACACAGTAAGTCAGAGGTAGAGCAAGAAACGATAATCCGAATCTGTCTAAAAGAGCAGCAGTGTGCACACCTATGTATTATGTGAGGAACAGTCTGCAATAATGAAGTGATTCAAAAGAATACAAACAAAAAATAAAAAGGGGGGTGTTCAATACATATAGTTATCAAACAGCCTATTGACAGTCCATACACGCTACCTTTTCTTAAATAGGAATTAAGATGCCATATATCCTGACTGCTCAATAAACAAAAATTTTTAGGTCGCTCAAAGCATCATACTCAACTTTACCATTTTCCTATGTACGTAATAAGAATTATTGAAGAGTCAAAGCAAAGAAAACACAAGTAAGATGCACTGCATGTCTAAGTACTTACACATAGGAAGTGTACTGCTGGAAAATAGCACACACATGGTACATATGCTGCATATGATAGCCACTTTTACAAGATGAATAGCTCATTTAACAACTCAAGAAGTGGAAGGAACTGGGGGGAAGAGGGGAATGGAACATGGAATAGAAGTCACATTCATCTTCCTGTCCGGATATAATCAGTGTCTGAAAGCCTACTTACATGGAAGGCAAACTGCCCTGAAAAGTCATACATGCCACAGGAGTGCATTAAGCTCAGGGTGTTGCGGACTGCCTCAGGACTCAGGACCCTCTCCCCAGTGATGGGGCAAAAGCCGCCGTTGGCCAGAGTCGCTGCCATCACGCTCGCCGACTCGCACGTCACTTCTATGGAGCAGAGCTGGGAAGGAGAGACGGAGGTGATGAGCACTGGGAAGCTCCAACAGCACAGGAGGGCTGTCTACATCCATAACAACACCACGCCTCTATGTAAATAACATGACACCAAATACCTGTAGCACAACATTAGTTAGGGATGACACTAGGAGCATCCATTAGTACTGTGTGAATCATCCCATTGCAAGATCCCAGTGTCAGTCTTGGCAATCCTACTTAACAGTTCGGGAAAACTTTTTCTATACTGAGTGTTATCAGCTTCGTTTTCCGTGTGTTTGTTCCCCCCTCACCCCCAGTGACATTCCTTTGAGAGGAAGAGGGGAGAAAACCATCTCAAGATGTTGCATCTGTTTAAATGGTAAAGCCACAGAATGACTTTTTCCTCAATTGGAGTTTGAGGTTTTTTAAAGCTTTAGAAAGCAGCGTATGCCTATTAAAAGGACATTTTAAAGCTACAAATTGTAGCACTTACAAATCTTACTGCCAGCATTTCCTGCTAACACAACTTTGTTTCAGCCTCCTCTCATATATGCTTTATGATACATTAACTATATGATGACATAATATTTTCTGCTTCATTGAGGGCAAAGAGTACAAATTTGATGATGCATCAGGAAATGTGATAAACAGGATGGTTTTTATTGTTTTTGTTTCTGTTTTTTTAAAGCAGAAATCCAAAGACAGTTTCAACCTGAGGCTGAAAAGCTACTTTGAGAAGCAGACAAATCAACGTTTGTCCTCTTGCTGCGGCCAGTCTTACTTCATAAAATTACGTAAGCCAATTTTTCTGTGCAAAATCCTCATTTTCTGAGTGCCAAACTCAAGCCAGTCATCTGAAGCTGCAAATCCAGAGAACATCCGAGACGCATGTAAAATGGCAACTGTGTTTTAAACATATGAGGCGTTACATAATACCACCTACTCGTAAAAACTATTTTTAGGTTCTCTATTTAAGCACCTACAACCTTTAAACTTACATTTGCTATCACAGTTCTCTCAAATGAGAATAAACTTCTCACTTTAGAGAGATAGTATGCAAATAAGCATATTCCCTACATTCCCAATTATGCTTGTGAGGAAGAAGCATTAAAGAAAACACAGAGAAAAGAAATAATTCGGCCTTTTTAGTAGCATTTGACTAGCATGCAGGAAAATACATCATGCAATGAGGAGAAAAGAAAACATTGAATTACCGCTCACTGTATAAGCCCTCTTTTTCTGAGTATTGAGGGGGAAAAGGGATTTTGCTAGGGAAAAAAGAATGCCACGCAGTCATAAAAACGGAGACCAGAATGCCCGAATTTGAGGCCAAATTAAAATTGCACAGGCCAAGTTATTCTGTGCCCTGCTTAACTTCTGACTAGTTTTGCACTCAGAAGCATACCAGGACTTATGCAGTGGGAAAAGAAGTATTTTAAAGACAGGTTTAACTACGATATTAAAAATACATTCTCAGTTTTATTCTGTAACAACAGCTTGCTATTGAAAGGGCTACTAGTTTGTGCCTCACTATGAGCTCAGCTGAGTCTAATTTCCAAGGAGCTTCCCTTACAATCAGCCCTTTGATTTCAAGACTGCAGCAGTCACATCCCAGCACATTGAAAACGGGGTGATATTTACTGCTTGCAGTTTGCATGGGTAGGTAGGAGTCGATCACACATTCCTTTTGAGAACTACGCCACCAAATACACCCTCCAGTTCACAACAGAATTTAACAAACACTGGCAAGCTCAACTGTAAGACATTAGAGCCCTCACCCCTGTGAACAGATGAGCTTCTATTGCCTACAACAGGACCTCCAAGTACTCAGCTTTAATTATCTCAGTTTTAATGATGAGAGCCAGTTACCTGGAAATAGAAGTCCAGGATAGCAACCATATCCGTTCCTTCTGGAAAACACTGATTAAGAAACAGAGAGTCTTCAGTTTAAAAAAAATAATAATTGTTTTTTAAGATTACCTTAAAATTAAGCTATATCCTTGTGAGCATATGAAACACTGGTCAAATTTTAAAGCTAAAAATTTATTTAAACATAAAGAATCAAAATAGAATGAAATAAAATAAAATCACTTCCCACCAATAACTAATACAATGCTGTGCAGTTTTAATACCTAGATTACTCTAACTAAAATCCGTTCATTGTAAACAAGCACCTAGGAGTTTTGTAAAGCTGTATGTTATAGAGCATTGATTATGAACTTTTAGGCCACATAAAACATTACCATGACTAGTATATAGATACAAGATTAAGGATAATCCTTTAAAAATATGCAAGTATTTACACTCTTT